CACCAAGCGTCAATTTTTGGGGTAGGTATGCTGCTCAGGTAGAGTTGACTACGGACCATGGCTTGAGCGAACGGCTCGCCCACCACGATGGGAAAGCGCCATAGTTCCTCGGTGTGCTCCTGCACCTCAGGATACTTTCACTACCGTTCCTCAGGATACTTTCACTACCGTTACAAACAGATGTCACGGCAAAGATCTCCGTTGCCGAAGAAGAGCTGTGGAAACAAAAGATGAAAGAACAATCTGAAGAGCTCTGAAAACTTCTAGGTGGAACCGAAGGTGCTGAGCAAAGGTTCGACTATGCCATTCGTTCTCGAAGCAATGATACCTTCAGCTTTAATGAGACTCGCGGAGGAGCGAACTTTATCCAAGGGCAAGGCCAGTGGACTTCAAAGCAGACCTGAGCAAAGACCGCGTCGCAGCCAACAAACCATCCGGAAAGAGCTTGTGGGAAAAGCCGAGTCTGCCGCACTGGCTGAGGTGCGATTGCAGCCAGTCGCAACTTACCTATGAAAGACTATGAAACTTCGGAAAGCCCACCGTTCAACTGGCCTCCCACCGGTCAACGAAGGCTCCAAGGGGTACTTATGGTTACAACCCATATTAGGGGACTTATACCCCCACTTATAACTACCCATGAACCTCCAAGTATCCGACTCTCCCACCCAGAGCACCTTCCGAAGCCCTTCCGAACTGTGCCCTGCGCAGAACCACGGTGACGTCCTCCCGCAGCCCCGGCGAATGGCCCGGACCTCACCGGCTGGAAGTGCACTAGCAACGCCAAAAGGCGGCCGGATAAAACTGGAACCATAGAAACGGCAGAGCACATGGGCTGGCACCTGGACACCAGAAAAACCCAGGGATCCTCCGGGCAGCCGACACGTCTCACAGGAACGCTGCGAGGAACACGCCTCCGGCGACGGCTCGTTGCCTTTTGCCACTCAGCCATCACTTGCTGCACACCCATTCTCACGTCACATCTGGCGTGCGATCCTGACCCCCGGCACACAGCAATTCCTGTCACAGCCTTCCGCCCACGGTAGCGGCGGACCGCGATGCGAAGAGCTCGCAGGGATTCCTAATTCACACCACGGGTAACATGCATCTGGGAAGTGAAAAAGCATCCGGCTTCAAAGCGCCACCTCTGCCAGCACCACTTCCGAGGGGGGCGTTGCAGGCAACGTCACACGGCAGTCACCCAAGTCATGTGTGTAACTTGCCGGCGCCCTTTCCCTTGCCTTTTCCATCTTTCCCACCTTTGCTGCCTTTGTCTCGGTCTCCCGCCCTATTCGAAAGAACCTAAACCCTAAACCAACATATTGGGGAGTCGCAAAGCTCACCTCTTGACAATTGTTGTAAGGGAAGGCTAGGTTAGGTTTTTTTTTTTGAGGGCCTTTTTCCGTCTGCTAACTCCTAGCTCGGGAATCTGCGTGGCAGAAGGCAAGTGCCCGACCAGTCAAGGTTAGGTTTAGGGCTTAGGGTTTTGGGTTAAAAAAGAGGAGGAGCCAACGCAAGAAAGGTCAGTAAAGATGTTGAAAGAGCTCGGCGGTTCGGAGCTTTGGTGGTTAAGGGGCTGGTGGCCTGGACGATTAAGGTATTGGGGTATGGAGTCTCGAGCTGATGGACGCCCTTTGGTGGGCTTTGGCGTTTGGGGCTTTCCTTTGCAAGCTTCCCAAGACCGTGGGAATGCTTGTGTGATGAAGCACAAATATGAGAAACCGAACTGATGAATGACTATGCTACAGCCTAAACCCTCAACCCTAAAACCTCAACCCTAAACCTTAGGGTTTAGGGTTTAGGGTGCCGACCATGCTGCAGCCTAAACCCTCAACCTCAACCCTGCTCGACATGGGTAGTTCTCTAATTTAAGGCCCCTTTTTTGGTCCCCCAAAATAGTACGGCACCCTTGCAACAAGAACCCTAAAAGCTACCCTACGTTGTAACCGTCGTAGTCAAAGTGGCGGTCTTTACCAGCCTGACCTCCCAGCGTTGACATCTCGATGCTTAATAACTCAACTTGAGGGGCTGGGATTTATGGGTTCATGGATGCTTAGGATAACTTGAGGGTTTGGTGTTTAAGGTTTAGAGACACGAAAGTTTAGGGTCTGGCCTTCAGGCTCAGGACTTAGGATTCAGTGTCCGAAGGGGCCAAGACTCCAACTCCCAGCGCCCTTTATTCTGACCTCGGCTTCGGACATGCACAAAGTCGCGCCGTGCCATCAGCGAAGTGAGCGCGGGCAAGAAAGCAAGCCCAATGTATGTGCCTTAATAATTAGAATAGGCTTCTGGGACATACAGCTCCATCATATGCCCTTCGTCTGATGCCTCGCTGAGGTTTCGCATCGATGACATTGACTTCGGACGCCTTCCGAGCAGCAGCCCAACCACCAGCACCAACGCAAGAAGAGCAATGAAGGCGATCGCATACACCGGAAGGGTTTCGTTCGGAGCAGTTCCTGTGAGCCGTCGAATCAGAATCGGAGAGATGGAGTTGCTGACATGACCAGACGTAAGGGAGAGACCGCTGAGCTGGAAGTTGTAGTGGGCCGGTGTCTCGGGGCCAGAGCCGCAATGCTGCCCTTGGTGCCACCGCAACACACTTCGGAACAGCGTGACAAGCTTGGTGTCGCTCGGGTTGGTGAGTGCCAGCTTCCACACATCCACGAGGTACTGCGTGTCGCTGGAGTCGTCATCATCCGCCACTGTGTAAAAGCTGTAGTTGAAGTTCTTCTCGGTGATGGGTGTATGTCTGGCAATCTTCTCGGAGGTCTCCTTCAGTATGCCGTGGTAGATCGGGCTCTCGTTGATGTGCGTAAGCAGGGCATCGGCGCTCGGGGTGAAGTAGATCCCAAAGTCGTTTCTCCCCAGGGGAGAGTGTTGCATGAAGTGCTCCCCCGTTGCCACCAGCGCGTTGTACGTGTTGATGCTTGGGTTGCTCTGGGCCAGCGCCGAGGTCGCCGAGAACATCGTCCCGTTCAGGTCCCAGTCGTCGCCCCACTGGAAGCCTTCCCCACACCCCACGTAGTTGGTAATGCTGTTGAAGTTACTCATGGTGTACAGCTCCCCCATGAGGCAGCAGTCCAGCACGGTGCTGAGGAAGTGCCGCCCCTGGAAGTTCTCCCGGATCACCTGGTTGACCGAAACCGACTCCCCTTGGTGGTACGTACGGCCACCATCCGTCGTGTAGTTCAGGATCCAGAACCAGTCGCCCTGCCCATGCGTCCCAATCACCAGCCGAGTGTTACCCTCTTCGTAGTGCTCCGCCACGAACTTCTGCACCGCCACGGTATCCCACGCAGCGATGCCGCTGATCTTCACGAGGTCATGCCTGCCAGTCGTGGGGTCGTATTGGCTCTGATAGGTGCCGTTGTACGCGTCGCCCTTCTTGTGAGCCCGGGCGAACCAGATGCAGTGCATGTCCGTCTTCGTTCCGGTGGGATCCGCCTCCTGCAAGTAATTCCACTTCCTCGGGCCGAAGGGGTTCCAGTCGAAGGGCGCAAGGCTCGTGATGATGTACAGAATCTTGATGGGCTTCCACGACGTGTCCGATTGCTGCGTCGTGGTGGACATGTCACGGTTCCCAGGAAACTCACCGACAGCGGCCCTGAGCTTGGGCCTTGCATCCGCCCCAGCAGGATGCGGCTGGGATGAAGAAGCAGCGGCTCCCAGATCGACGCAGAAGGACGAGAACAAGAGGGCAGCAAGCCCAACAGCCCAAAGACGCAGCGACATCGCAGGTAGTGATGGTATATCTCTTGTGACTACTGCCCTGTTCTGCAATTTCTTCTTTCCTTTAAAGACTACCCTGTAAGTACTAGTTTGTGTAAATCACGCCTCAGTCAACCACAAGGACATCGCCTTGGGGGCCCGGATGAAGCCTCGATCGGAGACTGCTGGCAGCTTCAAAAGTAACGGCTTCGTGCTTTGGAATCTCGGGTTTAGGGTCTCACGTTTTAGGTGTTTAGGGCCTGTTTTTGAGGGGCAAGGGACAAGGACTCACTGAAACCGTGAGTTTCGGAACCCTTAAGAGGACAGGCGCTCTTTGGGGAGGTATGAATGCACCAACAGACTAACAGACACCCTGCTGCATGTCTGAGGAAATACTACACAGCCCGCTCCAGCCGGCGCACATAGAGATAGCCGTTGCGGAGTTGTCCTGCTCCCTCACGATATCCCGGCCATCGCCGTCGTCCTAACACGGGCCCGCAATGCGAACCCTGCCCCGAAAACATTGCATGAACCCTAAACCCTAAACCCTGAACCCCAAACTGTAAACCCGAAACCCTAAACACCAAACTGAAAACCCTAAACCCTAAACCCCAAAGTCTAAATACTACACCCTAAACCCCAAACTCTAAACCCTAAACCCCACACTCTAAACCCTAAACCCTAAACACCAAACTCTAAACCCTGAACTCGAAAACCTAAACACCCAACTGAAAACCCTAAACCCTAAACCCCAAAGTCTAAATCCTAAACCCTAAAGTCTAAATCCTAAACCCTAAGCCCCGAACTCTACAAGAAAAAAGAGCGCACTCTGAGGGCACAGCCTAACAGTCCACGAAGACCGCCCTAGCGGCGAGGAAGTCAAGGGGACCTGAGAACCGAGGCACGCCTACACCACGCTCAGCACTCCGAGACTCCAAGTCCCGGGCGTACCGGAAGACGACGAACCAAGAAGCCAGTGGGGCGGGGGGAGTTTGCGGTGCACGTCTGGGCACCTGCCACTCACTGTAGCCTACAAAACCAAGTACTCCAGGCCCCGAGCGTGCTGGAAGGCGACAGGTAGGAGACCTGACAAACGGAAAGGGGTCCCTACCTGCACTCCTGCGGCACTACAACTGTACAAACAACAGCCAAGCCAAAATAAAAAAACGACTCGCACTCTGGGGGACCTGCGCGATGGTCTGCAGAGAGACCCACAGACCCCTAAGCCCTAAGTCGTTGCTGTGATGTTCGTGTGCTGCTTGCGCGCTGCTAGTGTGCTGCTTGCGTGCTGCTAGTGTGCTAACTCCGTGCTGCCTGAGTGCTACCATGCTCTGTCCCGGCCCCTACCTGGTGAACCGCGGCGCGGGAAGACAAGTAAGCACTGCAAGCAAGCGTCCTAGGGGTTCGGGATGCAAGGCACTCGCAGGGCAGCTGAGGATCCAAGCCTACTGCGGAGCCGAACGGGTAGGGTGGCCTGAACCAAAACAAGAACCCAGCAAAAGCACTCTAGCAAAATG